AGGGAAATAGCTGAATAACCTCCAGAAGAAAAAAAAAATCAAACCAAAACCCCTTATGTCTAAGGAAAAATTAAAATGCTCATTTCAGAGAAATACCTGAAAAAGTGATTATAAGCGCATTGCACCCAGTTCAAAAACATAAAATACCTTGACATCGAACTGTTTTCTCCTTTGCTCTTTTAATTTGAGCATCTGACAGAATTTATTTATGACACGGCTGCTGTTTCTTAGTGCCATTTTCAATCTATTGAAAATGGTGTGGAAAAGAACCATCTCTCTTGAAGCAAGCTGTCTGAATAGCCACTGTGCTTTACGTGGTGAATTTGGACACAGCAGATAAAATCATGGAAGAAAAAAATGCAGTCAATTCAGTGGAACGGAGAACTTCCACTGGGGAGTGACTTTGCCTGTGGCTGTTAGATGTATGTCGGAGGTGTACGCCACTAGAAAATGGAAATGTTTGCTTTGAGCTTCAGAGAGGGAGTTCTGGTTTGTTAGGGGAAAAATGGGAGTGGATATGCTTTATTTGAACAGGAATGTTTAACTTTTTGTCTTCATCTTCTTCGTAAGTTCATTATCACATGGGAGAGAAGACTAGAAAGCATTAGCCCAACAAGAATTGGTTTTTGATTTTCTTTTTTAATTTGGAAGCCTAAGAAATGTGAAGTCACATCATCTTATTGCCAGAGGACTTCAAGGGAGCATATTTTGCACTCTGGCAATTTAATTGAAAGAGTGAGAGCATTGATTCATTAACAAAGATGCTATTTTTCCACAGAACATCTGTTGAAATGAGCATTAAACCGAGAGAGACTAAACTCTTTCATTTCTAGGACTTTCTTTAATTTCTCAGTCTGAAAAACTGTTACCTTTAAAAATGTGGCTTATGGTACTTAATTTTAAAAATGTGGTTTATGGTACTTAATTTTATGACTTATTCTAGTTTGAGAAACTTGCTTGGGATAGTTTTGCTTAATTTTTTTTTAAAACTGGGGAGGTGTGTGTGGTGTGTGGGGGGGAAGTAGAGGGGGGGGGTTAAAAAAACTGCATTTGTAAATGAAAACATGCAGTAGGCTGGCAGATACAGCATTTTGTAAAAGCAGCCCGATCACACAACAGAAAATTCTTGTGACTCCCTTTGAAAATAACGCTTTCTCCCTCCGCTTTTATTCTAGCATCTTCGCAACATTTAACACAGAAAAAAAGTTCAGTTGCAACATCAGAAAGTACTGTTCAAAGAACAGGTAAATCTTACTTTGGGAAAGCAGAATATAGGTGAACTAAACTCTTTTAGTTTGTAACTGAAAATGCATTTCTTTTAGTGCGTGTTTAATGATCACTAACATGCCTGGCTGCTTGGGGGTTGTGGGGGTTTTATTATTTGTGCTTTTGGGACTGCTTTTCTTTGTGGGATAGATGGTGCTTTAGAAGTCTCCAAAGCCTCACTGGAGATTCAGTATGGGATCAAGTAAAACAAATGGAAGAAATCACCAGGGCAGTTTTTAGATGTTTTGTCGTAAGCTGGAGGGACTGGATTTGTAATGATACGTTGTGTTTGAGCTTTGAAGTTTTGTTAAGAGTACATAGGAGTTTTTCTTTTATATAGGACACTTCTGAAAATATGTTCAAAAGCCCTGCTGGGAATGTAAGTTTTAGACTTGTAATCTTTTTTTTTCTGTTCAGCTTTTAATGAACCCTCGGCAGTGTTTCAAGGATGGAGCCCTGGCAGATGACTTTGTGTTGTTGCCAGCTATGATCGTGGTGTTTCACCATGAATTCCGTAGTGTCTTAAAAAAGTGCTTTCCAGGACGAGTAGGGAAAATGGATAGATGTGGACTTGCCCATGGGAAGTGCCTCTCTCCATCGATTTGCCGTCTCTAATATGATTAAGAAGTAGAGCTTTCAGAAAGTAAAAATTGTACTAAATTGCTTTCTATAAAAATCCACTGAAAAACGTTCATGCACCCCGACGAGTTACATCTGACTCTCTGCCCCAGTGCTGACGTGGCTGCGTTAGGGAGTTCCTGCTGGGGAGGGAAGCACTGACAGTATCGATTTTTACTGTTGGATAGGCTCCCTGTTCAGATTTTGGGTAGGAAGAAAAGTAAATCTTAGTGTGTTTTTCTTTTGTTACCAAGACATCTGTTTTTCCCAGATGGTGCTGTGCACACTTGCACTGATGTTCCAGCAATACACTTTGTAAGGGCTGTTTACTGTGAGGGGACGGAGGTTATCTGTTTTCTGACTTTTTTGACACCTTTACTCCTTGGGCACACACTAGCAACTTTGGGTACAGAATTGCTCTGAAAGGCAAAGCCACAGTTCTGTGCACCACTGTCCCAGAGGTGGCAGGGTGTTTCAGGGTGAGGTGGAGGCGATGCGGCAAACGAGCAGGGAGTTAATGCTTTACACGGCAGTGGCAGTCCCTACGCCAGCGGCAGTTTCTCACCAGAGGTGTTCAGGTACAGATACTCCCTCTGAGCAAAGGATCTGGTGGCTATAGGGAGAATTAAAAGACGGACAGTAAAAAGGTTAGAAATCTGATACGAGGAGAAGGAGAGCTGTTTATTGTGGTGAAGACTCAAAAGGAAGCCTGATCTGTCTATATAAAATCAGTATGAGAGGGAGAGAGAGCAGGCAGGTCAGACTTCCCTTTACACATCTCCTGAGAGCTTTTTTCCAATTCAGTAGAAGTATAATTGGGCTTCAGGAAGTTGTCTTCCTTTGCATTGCTGTGAGAGGTGGTTGGGTTAAGGCAAAATTTTACATGTATATTAGATACAGATTAGTATTTTTAAGGTTTAAAACTAACAAACCCAGAAGTTGTAGAAGGAATATACTGTCTAAAATGGAAGTTAAAAAAGGGAGAGGACTGTAGCCCTTGTCAGGAAGCTTCTCTACAGTTTTCTTCTGCAGGGTTCCTTTTAACTTTTCTCTGTCTTAGCTGGTGCAGGTGATAATCAGAAAGAGCACCTGGCTGGCGTGGTACGTTGAGGTGTTAGCTTGCTTTGCTTTGAGAGTAACGATAGAAGAGAGAAGTGTATTCTTCAGACCTAATACATAATGAGAAAAATGTGAGATAGTCATGCCTTGTCAGCAGGTACGTACTTCTACAGCAGACTTAAAAATTATCTTTTTCTCTCGTAGAACTTGAAACAAATGCTCCAGTAGTTGCTGGTCAAAGGTAAGGAGATAGTTTGTGTAGATTCAGAATAGATATAGCTTTCATGGGAGGAAGTCCCTTTCTCTTCACTTCAATTGCACGACTTCTGCTACTGCCTTTCATTTTCTTGTCCATACCCTTTCTGTCCTGCTCAGAGATTGGGCTAGTTGAATGTTTCAAAACATTGCTGAGATGCAGAATGTAAGGTAACTGTTTCCCGAGTCTGTCCTCGTGCTTTGGGCAGTGTTTCCTCTTGTCCCTGCAGGACGGAGTGTTTCACGTCCTGGAAGGGTCTCGATGGTTCCACTGTTCAGTATTTTCTGAAAAAACAATCAAAACTATAACCCCCAAAGCCTGTAGCTTAGCTGTCATGTGAATTTTTGTTTTCTGAAAGTAGGTCTTTCAAAAGTTTGTTCTTCTTCTGCCTTTGTGACCGTTTTCTCCGGATTTCCTCTGTGTTTGCTTGTTGACCCTTTATCAAAACCTGATAGGAAAGGCAGGTAGAAACTTCATCTTGTCCCAGTTAAGACATTCAGTAATTAAAAGATAAATTTCAAATGGTTGTCTTCTGTCAGAAGAAAATATGGTTTCTGAGATCTGTTTCTGTTAGATTCTAAACCCACTAGGCTCTCAAACTCAGTCTCGGCAGCTGTAATGACAGGGCTCCGTAAGGGTTTTGGGGAACGGTGCTGCCCTCGTCGGTGGAGCGATCCCGAGCCGGGAGAAGAGGTGCAGCTGCATCATTGGGGTCGTCAGGGAATAAGGCAGTGTCATCTTTTGTGAGGGTCGTGACGCAGTACGCTGTCTTAGATCAGGAATGACTCCAAACTGAATATTTAACTGTATTTACCTTCACATGGATTGGGGTCTTCATAGTCATATCAAAGACAAACTGAAATTTCGTGGTAAGTGGTTTTTTTTTAGGGTAGAATTTTTCTGAAAAGCTGAAGGTGTGACACTTGGCAGACGAGCGAATCCTCCAAATGAGGTGTCCTTGCGTGACCATTCTCCAGACTCATTCAGCACATCAGATTACTGCAAGTGCATTTCTGTTTGGATTTTTCTGCGCTGCTGCTTTTCTGAGCAAGACCGGAAAGGAAGGGAAGTTTTCAGGCAAACTCTGAATCCGGTGATGGCTGATACTCACGGCGGTCAGCTTGGAGCTGCCGGAGTTAAACGCCGTGCGGTACAAACCTTAGAGGAACCCTGCGACCTACAAAGCACTAAAAATATTTTTACTTGGGCCAACTTGATTTCCTCCTATAGAAGGAGAGAAGTGATGTGTTGGTTCCTGTGAGACAATCCCAACGATGGATTAGTCACTGGAGTCTCTAATAACCGAATTTCAGCTGATGCTGCCTGTCTGCTTACCTCCCGTTATCCTCTGAAGTAGGTGGCTGTTGTTTCAGCTGCCCGGGGTACTTTGGAGAAGACCAGTTTGTGACCAGTTTGGGGGATTCAGTTTGTAGATTGCCCATAATGCTGACTTACAGGGGAACAGATTTCAGTATTTATTTTGTATCTGAGACAGTCTGTGTGCTTCCATATTCTCCTCTGCTGTGTGTTTCCTTGCTTGAGAATGTTTGTCTCTCCTTTCATTGACTAAACTGTGTTTTATTTCAGATATCTGTTACTTAAAACAGGTCTTAAAAAAGTATTTGTAGTAGTGTTGCCCCTCAAAGCAGGGCTTCCTGTGAAACCCTGACACCGTAGTGGAAGCTCTGTAACCACGCACAGGTCTGCTCTGGGTGTCTTCCGTCAGCTCGCTGATGAAGGCAGCCGTTCTTGAAATCTTGCGAAGATCACCCAAAGGGCATGAAATGAGCTTTCCTTCTCCTCTTCCGTTATTGGCAGAACAATTTATTTGATTAATTGCTTGCTTTTGAATTCACAGGAGATAAGTTTAGCTTAGTCTTCAGAAGCCACTTGGTCACCAGAACTCATCTGGCATTAATGCGTTGAGAAAACACCCAGACCTCAGGACGAGTTTGCAGGGTTAAGAGTGATAAAATAACAGAGGAGTTTGATTACAAAGTGTAGCACTCCATTTACTCTCTCAGTGACAAGAAACACAGATATCCATACTACCTACAGTTATTTTTTTATAGCAGAAAAAGCTTTCTGCTATAAAAAAAAAGATTTTAACGTCAAGCTTTAAAGCTTGAAGGAAGTGTAAAATAAACCTTAAGCTTTTTAATATGTGCAGAAATCCCTTGGATCAATGGACTGAGTCTTTTCAGTAGAAACACAAGCTGGCGTACTCACTGAGGAGCTCATAATTCCTCCTTCTGTTCATCTGCAATTTCAACTCTGTGTTCCCATACCGTAGCAGTCTCTAATGTAACTTGTTTGCTTTTCCTAGACTTCAGTAATGGTGGCACCTGTGGAAAACAGAGCAGACAATTTATAATGCATCTAATTTCTTGGTCTTCTAATGTTGAAACTATTCTCTTTGAGGACTTCTCAGTTCTGTATCCTCTGATAATTTTTAATAGAAATGGACTATACTCTGGCTTACGCAGGTCATTCTTCATCTGATAAAACTTCTGGTATCTCTAGCATTTCATATCTTCAGTGCTAATAGTCCGGAACTGGTACCCGTGTCGGTCCATCCTCCAGCTTGTCTGAGTTGCATAGAAAAACATAATTCTTCTTACACTTCATCAGAAATATTTTGTCCCACTTTAATAGTAATGAGACAAAAGAGAATTGTGAAAAGTCTAAAACTCCAAGTAGAAGAAATTCAAGAACAGAGGATTCTGCCGCTTCACAGGAAACTGTAGAGAATGGCCAGCGCAAGAGGTCCTCCAGACCAGCGTCTGCATCCAGCACTGCAAAAGGTAAAATGCACAGCCGTCATTTCTCTGGAGAGGGCAGGAGGTAACGTCCTGCCCCAAGTAATAACCCTGTCAGTAACCGGCTCGTGACGGTGCTTTTCAGCGTGTGAACGTTGCGTGCTTTTAATTCGAGTTTCAATGATTTAGACACAGGTTGGTGTTGAAGTATTTGCTGACGTCTGTACTGGCAGTAAATCTTGTCTGAATTTCCCATGGTTAAATTTGTGGAACTTGTTTTCTGCAGTACTCATCAACGTAGTGTTTAGCAAGCTTGCCTAGCTGGAGCTGCATTCTCTTGGCAGAAGTGTGTTGCCATTAAAAGGACTGAACTCAAGTAAAAAAGTGACTTTTTTTTTTTTTCCTGAAGTCTGAAAGACAGGAGGCGAATGCTTAAGTCTTCCCAAGTGCACGGTCAGCTCTTGCGAAGCCAAATGCCGCGGTTCAGGCACGCTCAGAACGCTGCCTGGCTGGCAGCCTGGAGCATCGAGGAGTGCTGTGTGCTGGCGCACGGAGCCTCGGCTGCTCTTTCCAAGAACACGCGAAATCCCGCGGTCCCAGATCCTAACCGCCGGCGTTAGCAGCTGCTGGCGTGCCGCATTTGTACACAGGTCACAGCATTACCAGAGCGTGCGGCAGTGGTGTGAGGCACACGGTCGTTACCGGGAGGCACGCTCCACGGTGCCCTTCGGCATTTCGGAAGCTAACTGGGTCAGCCCCTTTTGTTTAAGGGTCAGAAAAATTCTGATGGACGAAAGTTGTGCGAGAGGGTAGAGAGAGCCCGTCAAGAGGCAACATTCAACCAATATTTTAAAGCTAATATACAGAACATAGAGGTGTTAATATAAAATTATTATAAAAGGAAGTCAAGTTGAATTCACCAACCATTTTCTGTACTGAAGATACTAAAGTCTGGTGGTAAGAATATTTGCTCAGAATATTTGCATTCTAAGAGTTTCAGAGAAGACGTCCAGCTGTACGTAACTGTGCAATGACTCAAGGATTACACGGAGGGACCTGTGTGTTCTGCAGCTTG